CCATTCATCTTTCAGGAGGAGAAATGGGGTGATTATGTCTGAAGCCTGAGAAATCTTGGTTACCACTTGTGTCTAAAGTAAACATATAACTTCTAAAGTTTCATTTTCAATGTGGGTTACAATTGGACCATCCTTGGCAACAGGTAGGAAGGCAGTGTGAACAGGTCGAGCTTCAGGCAAGTACATAGAGGTGGATGAGGTGGTCTTTGCAAGGTTTCTTCAGTCCTCATCTGAGAACCAAAATCATCAGTGGAGAATGGTGATGGAGAGGTTGAGGAGAGGAAAGGTTCAAGTAGCCATCTAGGAGAGAAGGAAAGTAATCAGAATAGTTCAGAATAATATGATAGTGAGGAAGCACTGAATGTGCTCAAGGCTTGTGATCATGAATTTAAAGTTAGACTAGTCAATATGGTGGTATATTCTTCTCCAAACAAATCTGACTCTGTTGTGTGGGAAAGGAGTTGATAGAAAGTACAATTTTAACAGAACTGCAGTTAAAAAAAAAAAGTGTGTCATAGAGTGGCAAAGTAAGAGAGAGGCAAACAAGGTAAAAGTATGAAGACGACAGTGATTATAGTGATTGACTATATTGAGTACCAAAGAGGATATAGATCATGCGAACTAAAGGAGACCTTACAATTTTATTTATCTGGGCTCAGCCTTTCATTCTGCCTAAAGAGTTTTATACTAAAAATTATAATAGGACAATGAAATTAAAGAGTCATGGTTATAAAAATTAGGACCAAAAATATTTATTGAGAATGACCTTATTCCAGAATCTATTGTATAAGTATAGTACAAAAGCTAACACATGTGTCAAAAATCCATTAGACATAGATCAAGAAGTAAATTCAGGCACAAAGATAAATTTATTATACAAGTCATACTTTCAGTCTGTTTTATTGTCAACCATGTGGGAAAGTAAAGACTAAGATTTAATATCAACCAACACAAGAAACTTGGAGTTACTGTGGTAAAGTCCAGAATTACAGGAATTGGCCATAATATCCTCATGGAGGCAATATTGTTAATTCTCATTCACCCAAAGTCATTCCTTCTTTTTTTATTTTGTATGCATTGTAATGTTTATTTTAGCACTATCTTTAATATTTACTAATTTTTTCTTTGTGATGTTGGAGATCAAACTTAGAGCCTTGTTCATGGTAGGGCAACATTCTACCACTGAGCCACATCACTCACCCATATTGAAACTTTACTGAGAAAGTCATAATTTACTACTTTTTGGTGAACTTTGAAGGATATAAAACTAAATCTGTTATGGCCTCTACCCTCGTAGAGCTTACAGTCCAGTCACTGATACCATTTATACTCAACAAGTCTAAAATACATAGGCACAAAGTATGAACAAAAACTATAGACTTACCATATGAGCCCTTAATTCCACAAAAATAAATTTTATGTTCAAACACAATCTTACTCATGAAGTTCATAGCAGTTTTATTTGTAATGCCACAATTGAAAACAGCTCAGTGCCCTTTGATGGATGAATGGTTAAGCAAACTATAGTATATCCCTACCATGGGATACTACTCAGAAATTAAAAAGAATAGACAACAGACACACACACAGCAACCTACATAGATTTGTAGAGAATCACACTAAATGAAAAAACCAAGCTGAAAAGGTTGTATGCTATATAATTCTGTTTATGTACAATTGTTGAAATGGTAAAATTGCACAGATGGACAACAGACCTCTCATCACTGGAGTTGGGGTTAGGGAAGGAGCCAGGTGGATGTGGGTAGCATGAGCAATCCTTTGAACAAACATCTTGACTATAGTGATGGTCACACAGATCTACATAAATGATAAAACTACACAGAACTAAATACATTTTTCACACACACACTCACTTGTTTTTAAAACTGGTGAAATCTGAATTAGGTGATAGATTATTTCTTTAACTTCCTGGTTTTAATATTGTATTACAGCTAAATCATATTATACGATTGCTGGAAACTAAACTGGTATAAGGTCACAGTATTTTTCTGTATTATATTTTACAGTGGTATGTGAATGTAATTTGAAATTACCTGGGAAATTTAAAAAAATTAGTCATAAAGAATTTCAGAAAAGAAGATTTTATCTGTTGTCAAGGAAGTTTTCAGGGAGGAGGCAATATTTTAAATAGACTGTAGGTTCTTTTATACCTGAGTCAGAATGCTCAATAATATTTATCAGTTTTTAAAATTGAAATGAAAGCTAGAATAAATCATCTCAATGAGAGATCACTTCCACAAAAGGGTTTAAAATGATCTGAATAAAACATCTCTTAAAAAATAAGAATTAAAACAAAGCAGCACATTGTGTGGATTTAATTATTTCTTCATTTCAAAGAATTGTATTCAAACTATTACAATCAGATACTATATAGTTTAAAACAAAACTAGAATAATGCTTTCTATTTCTTGAGTGCCAACCATGTTCTAAGATCTGTGCTGAGCATGTTTCAAACATTACCTTAGCCTTGTTACTCCAGAAATTATTTGAGTGAATATTAAGTCCATTTTATAGGTGAGAGATTTAGGCATAGACTATTTGAATAACTGGTTTAAGCCTGAATTAGTGTAAAGTCTGGGATTACTTTGAAAAACCATTATGTAAATGTGGTTATACAACACTTTCTGATAGGATGCATTTTTTTAAGTGAATCTTTAGGCTTTTTCACCCAGTGAAAGTCACAGTATATATTAATACAAACCTAGATAGCAGAAATCAAGCACATTCTCACAAACACCTGGGTAATGCTTTGCCCTGAAATGTGATGGCTACAATGCCACAAGGGAATAGAAATTTTTCAGCTCTGTTTTAATCTGATGGGACCACTGTCCTCTTTGTGGCCTGTCATTTACTCAAGTGGCCTTATGTCACATGACTACAGTAATAAAGCTATGTGCTCTGCACAATGCAAATGTTAAAAAGCCAACACTTACTGATAGGTTATCATATAGTGAAAATTATCGGGTGGTGTGGGAAAAGAGGTGAAAATGTGCAAGAGAAACTGCTTTCCCTCTTGTATAATTAATAAGTATTACCAGCATGACTTAAATGTCTTCAATAAAATGGCTAACATAGGCCAGGCATTTGGCATCCTCCTATATCCCAAGACTGGGAGACTGGGGCAGCAGGATCCCAAATTCAAGCCCAGCTCAAGCATTTAGTGACTTAATGAAATACAATCTCAACAGTAAATTATAATAATAATAATAATAATAATAATAATAATAATAATAATAATGATAATAATGCCAGATAAGGTGGTACACACCTATAATCCCAGAACTTGGGAGGCAGAGGCAGAAGGATCACCATGAGTTTGAGGCCAGCCTGGGCTACATAGTGAGCTCAAGGCCAGCTTGAACTACATAGCAAGACCCTGTCTCAGTAATAATAATAATAAAGGGCTGGGAGTGTACCCAGTGTGAACGATCTGGGCTCCATCTTTAGTACGGGGGAAAAAAAACTATCACAGATATGGTCAAGAATATTAAAACCCTTAGTACGTCATTTTCCCAAATAAATTGCTCTTGTAAGACTATAAGTGTGCATTATCTATTTCTCCATGCACATCAAGTTTGAACAACTGCTTGTACCTTTAGTGACTCAAACCTCTAATTCTTAAATCTTTTCTAGACAGAAATAGCAAAGCTATTTGTCTGAGGACTATAACGCTAGTCTAAAATAAAAATTCAAGAATTTCACCCTAATTTAAATTTTTTAAAGTTTGTATAGGAGTTTTTCAAATCATGGGCCATAAATTTTGAGTTTGGAATCTAATTCCCAGAAATCTGGAAAATACTAATGATGCTAATATCACACTATTAATAGCACTAACATGCATTTGAATATAAATGTATTTTGAAAGATAAATTGTATTCTTTGGTTTTTCAAGACACTAACTCCGAATTTCTACTGCATTTTCATTATTACTTGAAGATATTCTTCAATCCAGATTTCCATTCCTCCTTATACTTTGTTAGAGTTTAGAGGGTCCCACCTAGTGGTCAAACTGCAGAATATACTTGGGACCCAAATTTTAAAGGAATATGGAAAGTTTGAAAGATACCTATATTCTTGGTTTAAATTAATAATTGCTCTCGTTTTCCTGAAAACATTTTATTAAGTGGAACAAAAAGGTTTTATGTAAAATATTCAACACTGTTAATTTATATCAGTTTTCAAATCTTATTTTAGACAAATGCCTAAATTTAATCAATGCACATGCCAGCATTATTCAGGTCATTTGCATATTCTGTAAAAAATGAAGAAAGGGCAAGTGAAAGACTATTGCATTTCATCATTAACATATCATCTGGCACCAGTTCTAACTTCATTTTGGCCCAGATCACTTGCAAATTTTGTCTCTAAGGGCTCAGAATAATCTATCAAAACCAAAAATTATGAAGTTGGGCTATGCCAGGCTTTTCCTTTCTGTCTGTATCCAAGCAGTCAGCAATTCAGTATTATAGAAGAAACATCATGAGGTGGCTGCCGGGTGTCTGTCCTGTGATGTCATCCCATCTCAAGTCAGGTGGGTCTCACAGGACCACTGGCCATGGCAGAATGGAAGAAGGAAGCATGTCTTCCATCTCTCAAAATGAGGACTGAGCCCAGCTTGAGCTGCATGGCTATAGCTATGTGATAATGCCTGAGCCGTATTTCCTTTAAGCTTTTGCAGCATAGTAAACTGTGAGATGCACAAGAGTTTGGTGATGCCATTTAGTCTCCCCAATTTCAATCAATAGTTTGGGCTGACTCTGGTTTCATTCCCTCCTCTTTAACCATACAAGTATTTTACTACATAAGGTATACTAATTTTTCTTTAATAAAATTTCATTTTAGTCTTAAATTTCAAAACTTTTCAATTGACTGATAATATTTTCCACATCTTCTACATCTTTATAGATTATATTATAATGTCAAGCAAATAGATGACTAAATCATTTCACTGTTCTATGTCAATATCCTCAGGAGTGTCATATTAAATAAATATTGTATAACTTACTTAAAACAAGTATATTACATAGAGTTTGTATAATTATTGTAGCCCTAAGAAAACAGAACTGCTTTCATTGGTAGTCATTTGACTAGAAATTTATAAAGCTACTCACTGGTTTCTCTATATTTTCTTAAGTTAGTTTCCATTCTTCCTCCAGCATGAGGTATTGAGTATTTTCTGTTTCTCTTTACTTGACCTTTCGTAGAATACGATCATTTGCCATATGCCACAAAGGAAAAATCCCTCATACTTTTTCCACTGTTAAAAATACTTTTTATATTTTCTTTCATTCCTTGTACCAAACCTTGCAATTGAAAATTTACTGAGATGAGACAAAGAAAGGAATTTCTTCAAATTGTGTATTTGCATGAACAATTTATGTTGACAGTCAAAATTTTGATGACAGAAAACATGTGAATGCAAGTTGGGCAAATGTGTCTGGCAGACACAGGATGCTCACATGGGGCGACGAGTGAGAATGGAAAAGTATGTACCAAGAAGAGAGTTTAGTGAGATGGATGAGATCCTTGCCATTTTCAAGGCTTCTGCATTTCTGCATCTCAAAAAATGGCTTATCACATATATATAAGGAACAGTTTCTTTGCACTGGTTTTCCCTCAGATTCCAATTTTGGAAGTGATCCAGTCCCGGAGGGCAGTCACTCTCGTATAAACACCAGGCTTGTCGGGTTTCCCACATTCGTCTCCCCAGCTCACTATTCCAGCAAGGTACCAGATGTCTCTAGCATCGGCACCAACCAGAGGTCCTCCAGAGTCACCCTAAAGAAAAGGGAGAGATCGGTAATTCATAACTCATTTTATTACAGAAGAATTTATTGTTTTTCTCATTTAAAAATGTAATCAAAGTGATGAATTTCGAAAGTCTTCAGAGTGTTCAGACCCAGAAGTGATTCCCTCTGGCAGTTATTCACTCCAATACCCAGGGATTTTACTTAGCCTCACAGTTCAGCACTTTGAGGCTAAAGGTTGTATCTCTTTGGAAAATTGCTATGGTTTATATCTAGATGTCTCCCAAAGCCTCATGTGCTCACAGATGGGGCTGCTGAGAGGTGACTGGATCACAGAGGTATGATGCTTCCCAGTAAATGAATCCGCTAATGACTTTGTAGCTAAGTATGATCTTGGGAGGGGAAGTCGGGTGGGAGGAGGTGGTCACTGAAAGGATGTCCTGGAAGGGGGTGTCCCCCATACTCACCTTTAATCTTCTCCTCTCTCTCAGCTTCCCAATGCCATACTATGAGCTGTTTCTCCTCTGCTATGCTGCCCTGCCTAGGAGCCAGCTGAGACCATGGACCAAAACTTCAGATTTGTAAGTTTTTATACATAGTTTCATTGAATGAATGATTAAATGAGGAAAAAAAAAAAAAAACATTCCTCCTTTAACTTGTGAGAGTTGTCTGTTTTTTTCCCAGAAGGAAGCAAGTAACTAAGACAAGAATAGTACTCCTAACTTATCTGATACATCTGAAAAAAATAACTCCCTGAGTGTTTGCCACAAATTACTGTGGCATTAACTACACCAGAAAAGGTCAAAGAGTCTGTCACTGATAAGCAACACAGATGTTAGAATCAGATATCTGAGTTTCAATTCCAAGTTGCTAAAACCTTTGATTTACTTGTTTGTAAATGCTCTTAATAATACCTGTGTGGAGGTAGGCCACGCCCCGATCCACCACAGGAAGGAGAACCACGCCTGCTCCCGACCCAGCAGCCATCACTCAAGCACCGTGAAGGCAGCTGCGTGGGTGCCCCTGAACCCCCATAAGCTGCCCCCCGCACTCTCAGACCTCCTGACTGTGCAAGTCGTTGGACCCACTCTGCAAAGACAGAGGTGGTCATCAAGGGTATTATTTTGAGTTCCCAACATTGAACATCTTTAAAGAAAGGGCGTGGGAAACCTGTAATAGAACGTTGTGGAGTCCAACCATTCAGAAGGATGGGGAACTCAATCTGGGCCTTGCAGCCCGAGGTCAGTCAGAGTCATGGGGTTCAGCAATCAGCTAACTGAGATAAGGGGTCTTGCATCCTTGCTCTGTCTGAGCCACTAAATGGTAAATATACTATATTGAAAAGTTTGTTCACTGCAGACATGTTCTGGACTGCTTCTTGATTTCAAGTTAATTCAAATGATTTAAGGGTGATAGACTAGTGACTACCACAGGTGGTCAGTGTCCAAGTTGTGCTTGATCTCAATGTGTTGCTGATTGTATCAGTTGGGGTAAAGCATTGCCGTTGATTTGATGAGCTGTTTTCTCTGATGTTATGAAGATGAGAATGTCTGTGGGTCATTAGAGACACAGAAGCTAGGGTGCAACTATATCAGGAAGATTTGGGTGATAATCCAGAGATTAGACCAAGGACAGTCCGACAACAAAAATTACAATGAGAAAACACTTAAGCAAGACACAAGGACAGACTTCCAGTTCACCAATGGCAAACAGTAGGACAAATGAGGATGAAAAGGCCGATAGTGAACCACCAGGACACCCTGAACTCAAAGCACAGGAAGTAACAAAACAGATCAATCAGGCTCTAGAAAAATTCAAAACAGAAATAATTTCCCAGATAACCATAGAGATAGTGAGCAAAATGGAAGTCA